CTCTTGCTCAGGCTGGTCTTGAACTCCTAACCTCAAGTGATCCACCTCAGCCTCCCAGAGTGCTAGGATTACAGGTGTGAGCCACCACGCCCGGCCTCCAGGCATCTTATATACAGGGCATGTCCTATATTTAATGATTTTGTCCTGCTTTCTATATTGACTTTTCCAGAATACCCTAAATGTCCTGTATTCTGCTTTTTTCAATAAATTACAAAAATTCAGCAGTTAGAGCTATTCATCAAGTTTATCTGGGCATCCTATACTTCAATTTGCTAAATTTGAATTTGGCAAATTTAACATTGAATGACTCCTAACTAGAGAGCCATTCAGTGCCTACAACCTTTCAGGTTTGGAGGGGGTGCCTTCTTGATGTATCTGCCTGGGTGTTTCTCATAGGCGCTTTTAAGTGAAGACATCCACAATCAGATCAATCAGTTTCTCTCCAAAGCTTCTTTGTCTACCCTGTTTTTGTTATGTTGCCTCGACCTCCCTCCACATTTCCTATTAATACCCTTTGTGCATCTGAACTAATTACTCTGAACTCTGTCTCTGGTCACGCTGCTCTTTACACTCGGATTCCACATGTCAGATTTTATTCGCCTTTCAAAATCCAGTTTGTTATGTTACATCTTCCATGAAGCTCTTCTAAATTCTTTCTCTCCACTTTCCTATTTCTGAACTTTTATGATACTTTACCTGCTCTTCCTTTAGACAGTTCAGTAATTTTAAACCTTGTATTTTAGTCATTTGCATACATATTTTCTCGTCCTTAACCTACCACCATTTAGATTTTAGCTAAAAGTAGAGCTGTGTTTCAATAAAAGGGCAAGATACAGAAAGAAATAGTTCCTATTTAGAATTTGGTCAGAAGTCCATGCAATTGTGTAGAGTTTACTGGACTTGGAAGCTCCATGTGAAGCTTCTCTAGATGAAAGTACTGAACATCTTTTGAATCAGTGAGCTGCTTATAGCTTGAAGGTCACTGACATGCTGAGAGGCATCGTAGAAATGTGTGATACATAACATTAGCATCTCCTGTTCCCACACTCCGTGTACACAAACTATTCTTCCATTTTTATTTCCCACTGTAGCCCACATTTCTAGATTATATCCAGCCACGTTCCTGGACTTGTCAATATGTGTTTTAGAAGCTTGGACTTTATTTCCTTCTTGTCACTGAAGACTGAGTATTCTCCTTGATTTGGAGCCAGCCGTCACTGAAGCTGTCTGCGTTATTTGGACCACTCCAGGCTTTACGGAAGGCTCATTCAATCCCTAGGTCACTTGAAGCAGAACTGTTGGAAGCTCGCTGGGGTCTTGCACACTAAGCAGGACTCTGTTGTTGTTGGGGTTGGGGGAAGAGAAGGAAGACCCACAGCCGAGGTGATGACAGATTCTTGCTGGGTTGTGTCAGCTTTAGCCTTGGTAGTTATACTGTTTGGTTTTCTTAACTCCGTCCATTCAGAGACTAAACATAATACTTACTTGGCCACTGAACTAGCCAAAACACTTGTGAAGACATTGTGTAAGTACCTCTGACTTAGAATTTTTTTTCACAAACATTTTTGGAGCATATGCTAATTAAACATGAAATTGGGGAAGAAAAGAAAATAATGGGGCACAATTTTTGCTATTTCCAGTAGAAAGAGAAGATATTTTCTAAAGATAATCTTGTTATACATCCTATTTTATAATTTTTTGGAAAAAAGTTCAGTTATACTGAGTTTTTGCTTTGTTTTCTCTAAGTCATGAATTCTGTGAAGCAAAAAGATGCCTTTCACCTTGAATTCTTAAGTTTACATCAATAATATTATATACTGAGGGGATCAGAAATAGGAAGGGAAAAAGAAAGAAGTAGCACAGGAAAAAGAAAAATATTTCCTCTTATAACTTCCAAAGTAATTTTTAAAAAAGATTTGTAGAGTCAATCATGTGTTTAAATTATTTTGTTTATCATGGAACTTAATGTAAAAGATAATGTTTTTTTAATTGTAAGGTAGTAACTTCTTTGAAGTTATTTAGAAGTATCCTTTAGAACAATTATTGTCTAAAACATATTGACTTATCTTGAATTATTCTGCAGACAAGTGAGTCTGTAACATAAGTATTAATTATCGCCATTAATATTAATGTGATCATTAAGGATCCAGAAGCTGGCTTCTGCATTTGCTTAATTATTATACTTTTAACGGTAGTAGTTTTTAGGTGAAACAAATTAATATGTGATTGTTTTTAAGGAAATGTACTCTATTATGCAATATTTCCATTTTGTAAGATGCCCATTACTAATAGTGTGGTGTGGAATTATTTTGTTTGTATATATGAGGTATGATCATGTCTGTAAAGACTGAGCATTGCGAAGGATGCCACAGGCCTACCTTTCGGTTCTATTTTCCACCCAAAGAAGTGAGACTTATGAGTCATTCAAATGATTATTGTTACTTGGAGCAGCCACTTGAGAGGCTCTCTTGGTACTGTTTAGAATTTGTTTTAAAGTCAGTTTTCAATCTCACAAGAAGGTAAGTAGAGTTTCTTAATAGTCACATTCTAATTTGAGTCACAAGTACCCAGCTTAATCACCTATTTTATTCACCATCTTTGATCCAGATGGATTTAGGCAGATTTCAAATCTTGAATTCAACTTCAGCAAACACAAGCACACCTCAAAGGAGGTACTTGTGAAAAGGTATTCCGCATGTTCCCTAGCAGTAATGTTCTGCACAATAGTATTGTAGTTGTAATGGAACCATAACCTCTTAACGAGACTGCTTTAATAAAGCTTGTCATTTCTGGCATTTTCTTTAAATATTAAAATGAATCCATCACTTGAATGTAAAACTACATTTGAAAGATAATGAGAACAGATTGGTCTATGACATAGTTACGAATAAGACAATCTTTCAAAGCAAGACAATGGAATTCCTAGGTTGATATTTCTAAGAAGTACTATAAATGTGTACTCTTATGAGAGGACTTTGTTTCTCTGTTGTGTTTCTGAATACTGTATTTGTTGGACTAATCAAGGCTATTTTTTAAAAAGCTCTCCACTTCCTTTTATTATTATTATTATTGATTTTTCAGCTCTAGATTTACAGCAAATGATATGTAGAACTGTAGACCATTTAGAATGCTAAGACTGTCCTGAGAAACTTTCAAAAACATGTTAACACTTAAGAAATGGCCACTTTCTGTGAAAGAAACTGGCTTGATAGCCATGATTGCTGTCTGCTTTTAGCAAGTCTTTTCTTAAAACCATCATCTACACTATTTAAACAAATAAAAAAAACTAAAACCCCTTGCTAATGTGTTTCAGGAAAATTGATTTATTTTTTCCTATTTTGCTAATAGTGAAAATCATTTTCAATTACAGGTTGATACTTTTGCCTTCTGAAAAGTAATGAGCTTAGAATTTCTTTTCTGTATTAATGATAGTAACCATGATTTGCAATCTGTATTATCCAACAGAACAACTAAGTAGTATGTATTTCACTTTCTCATTACCCCTTTAACTTGATCTTCTAGTACCTTTTGTACATGGGACAAATTTGTTAGATGCTTTTATTCTCAATCCTGGATAATGAAGCAAAATGGAATTTTGTTTTGTTCTTTGGTAGATTAATGTGCTGTAATTGCCCAGGTAAAGCTGCTTGCCTTATGTTGTAATTTAATTAGAAAACTGAGGCTGCTTTTAACTTCTCAGTAACTGTAACATTTGGAAGCAAAAGGAGTGGGGAAAATGTTTTGTCCTTTTTCAATAGTTGCAAGGTAAAAGTGGGTGATAACTAACAGGGTAAGAAGGTATGATGTATAAATCTATATTGACAAACATAAGTTGTGTTGTAGAACTAATTAATTTAGTATAGATAATTTTCATTGGAATTTAAAAATACTTGCCTGAGAAATGGAATCTTGATGTCTTATGGAAAACATAACATCATGTATTGGACTGCATAGCCTAAACAGATACAATTTATTAATTGCTGAGAGGTCTTTTGTGCAAAAAAAGTCTTTGTTTTGTATGGGTATAAGTACTTTTGAGTAAAATTCATTTGTGTGGGGAAAAATAATGAAGGTAAAATAACTCCATAGCATTGAGGTGGCCTGACAAGTGCAGTAGTTTAAACTTTTGGGTTAGTTATGGAACTGTTTTTTTTAAAATGTTACACTTAAGCCCAGCCCATAAAACAGATAAAATATAGCTACTTTTGGTTGAGACAGTGATAGTGGGCCTGAAGCCCTTCTTGCTTGGTACACCCATTCTTGCCCCCAAAATACCCAGTTCAGTGAAAAGAGCATGGGCTTTTGATTAAGATGGCTCCACACTTACTAGCAATGTGACATTGGGCAAAATTGCCTAATTTATCAGAGCCACAGTTTTCCTCATCTGTAAAATGGGGGTGATAACTACCTCATAGGATTGTTGCAAAGCACTAGCCCTGGCAGAATAGGGCCTATTTTCTTAGCCTCCATAAATCCTAAACTTTAATCTTCATTATCTGTCTCGTTGGTATCTTTTAAAAATGTGAATGTCTCAAATGCTGCACACTCCCAAGAATATATACTTTTCTTTTAAATGGACCCTCAGGATGAGATAAATTGGCATTGCACCTTGATATAATAGGGTGTCCCACAATGGGATTTACCTGGTCATTTTTAACAAGATTGTTAAAGGGACTCATTCATGTTTCCATCTTTCCAAAATTACTCTCATGTTTATCTGCTTTGGCATTAGGGCAGGGTAGCAAGCTTCTGAACAGAAATTGATTTCTGCTATTACCTACATATTTAAGTCAAGTGTGTAGAACCTAGCGTGTATACTTAAGTTTGAGAATTTATGGAGGGATGGAAACTAATGAGGCCTTATTTCTGCCAGTATAAAGAGAACGCTTATATTAATAATTTTGGAAGACAGAATAGATTTCTTAATGGAAGATAGCTCATACTTTTTGTTACAAAGTTTAAGTGACATGCTTACTTCTTGGGCAAAATTTCATGTAATTTATGTAACACTATATATTACATAATGCTATATATAATGTGTATATATATATACACACTAGCAGTCCCCAATCTTTTTGGCACCAGGGACTGGAAAACAATTTTTCCACGGATGGGGGATGGTTTTGGGATGACTGCATCACATTTATTGTGCAGTCAAACCTCTCTGCTAACGATCATCTGTATTTGCAGCTGCTCCCCAGCGCCAGCATCACTGCCTCAGCTCCACCTCAGATCATCACGCATTAGGAGTGTGCGACCTAGATCCCTCACGTGTGCAGTTTACAGTAGGTTTGTGCTCCTTTGAGAATCCAGTGCCAACACTGCTCTGACAGGAGGGAGAGCTTATGCAGTGATGCAAGCGATGGGGAGCGGCTGTAAATACAGACGAAGCTTTGCTCACTGGCCTGGCGCTGGCCTCCTGCTGTGTGGCCCGGTTCCTAACAGGCCACTGACGGGTACCAGTCTGCGGCCCAGGGGTTGGGGACAGCAGATATACACTATACATACAGTCAAGGTAAGATCTGTGTTGGATATTGTTTTATATATATCTTTAGTCTTTATTTTTCTGATTGAAACTGAAGGAACTGGAACATAAATGTTTTGAGGAATAAAATGAATGTTCTGAGTGAAGCTTATGTAAGGATTTGTTAACATCAGTAAAGTTTCTATCAGGCAATACAGTGTTGGAACTCTTTGTTGAAAGAAAATGTTACATATAAGCCCAGTTTCAAGAGAAGATTAAAAACTAGCTACTCTGGGTGAAATAGGGAGAGAGTAGTGCCTTTATCCACCCTCAATTTAATGCCTTGTTTGAAAATTGGTAGACAATAACAATAATAATAAAATTGATAAGCTTTAGGTTAGGAGGAGACCTGTTTAACCTATACAGTCTACTAAATCCTTAGTAAAATTTCCCTTGTTTTGGGT